AACTGCGGCGACAAATCACGGACTGGTGAGATGGCGCCACTCCTCTACGAGTTTCCCGGGAATCCCGGATAGAAAAACGGGAACTGGGTTTTTCCCAGAGAGAGAATTCTGGGTATTGTTGCTTGTTCTTCTTGTCGGGTGATCGCTGCCATGAGCACGTGTAGTTCTCTTTCAATTGTACTCAAGGATTGTTGTAAATAAATATTGTTTTAGTTTAAAACGTGGTCGTGGACTTAACTAATTCACGTTTACAGCCTCCTGATAAAGACAGTCTTTGTGGAGATGTAAATGGATGAAAAAAGACGGCCAGATTTCGTCTAACCGATGGCGGCCATCCATTACCTCCAATATAAAGCACTGATTCTAATTATCATTTTATCACTCTAATTAAATTTGTAAATTTAAATTCGTATTTAATTTTTACACATTTATACTCAAATAGGATAATAAATAACCAATATATTGTAATTACAGTACGAAATGTAAATTATTTTTTTTAAACTCTTTCCGCTCTGTGGATACTAAGAGGGCCTCTTTTAGCAAGCCCATATGGGTTCGGCCTGGCCCACAATGGGGCGGTCGGTGGTGAAGACGGGGCCCGACATATCCTGTCCGGTCACCCCCGAAAAATTACTGGGGTTTAATTGCCCCTTCCCTATTCGATCCTGGGACCACCAGAGCGGTAGGCTTCTACCTTGATCTCTCGGCCATCCGGCCAAATAACATAAATTATACATCGTACATTAAATAACTTTCATTTATCTTCAGTCTTTTGTATTATTATTGTCAAGTTTTCCTTAATAAATTATATTAAGAAATATAAGAATTTTTATGATAAAAATATTTCTTTAATTAATTCTAGTCGAAAGCGTTAATTAAATGAGTGGAGTCCTCTTGTGTCGAATTATCGAACTAAAGTAAGCAGACGATCGAGTGAAGTGTAAGGAATGGAAGAGTTTTGGAAGGCGATTGACGATTTGCGAAAAAGCCTTTTAGCATCAAATTTATCTGAAAATCTAGACAATAACTTAAATTCAAGTGTATATGAAGACAAAGAAGAAAACAGGTAGCATAGAATAATTAAAAATATACTTTTATTTTTGTTCTGAATGATAAATGAAAATTAATTTTAATAGACGTAGAATACTTAAGAAAATTGAAGATATCACGGAGAATTGTTTACAATCATTATGTAGAAACCAATCGCCATCACTTGTTTTAGTTAATAGAAGAATATGGGAAAATGTAAGGTGAGTGAATGTTCATTACATGAAAATGACTTTGCATTAGTTTTTAATTTTTTTTTTTTGGATACAATTGCAGCTCTGAATGAGGCGGTTGGGGCCTTCTCGGAGCCGCAGACCATGCCCACAGGAGTAAAAAAGTCAAAGGAACCAATGGTCTACGTGCGACCCTTTGTGAAATAGGCAGATTTTGGGGAGTATATCTGGAATTTTGGGTAAAATTTTAGTTCTGAACTACTATTAAATTATAAATAATATAAATATATAAAAAAATATATAACAGGCTTATTTGGAGGGTTCTATCATGCAAAGGGTCACATGTATACTAATGGTTATTTTGAAAATTTGGAAGGAGTTGAGCAAAGGGTGGCTGGGGCAAAGTTATATAATATTATTACATAATATTATATAACTTGATAAGAGAAATAGATTGGTGGTGGTTTTGGAGCAGTCTGGGTCTGGGAACATCATTTTATGTCATTTTGAAGTTTTGTACTGTACATTGAGAAAAATTTTTCAGTTGGAAACCATAAAACAAGTTGTGCGTTTTTTTACTGGAGTATATTTATATTATATATAGTTACTTGATTTTGATTGTTATTTGATTACTCCTTGCACTCCTTGAACTTTTGCACTTTTCTCAGTTTACAAAACTTCAAATTATTGTAAAGTGTCCTTTCTGAGCCCATACCGTGCTGAGATCATCACCAATAAATTTATCTTATCAAGTTACATAATATTATGTAAAAATATCTCTGGCTACTGTTTGCTTGACTCCTACTGACTTTTTTACTCCTATGGGCGTGGTCTCAGCTCTGATGAGGTCCCAACTGCCTCATTTAGAGCTGGAATTTTAAGTTAATTAATATTAATAAATTAGTTAATTAATATTATTTTTAACTATACATGCTTTGTTTGTTTAATTAATATGATTTTTTGAACAAATGAATAAAAAAATTTCAGTTTCTGAATAATGTAAAGTAAAAAAATCTATTATATTTAAGTTTTGACTAGGAAAACAACTTCAAATTATTTAAATAATAACAAAAATTAGCTTTATTGGCATTCTCTTAAGTTGAATAACAGTTTTTCTAGTACTTTCGGGCAACCAAGCTTATTGTCAGGATATACACAAGTTTTAAGTTTTGACTTTGTATTTCAGTTTGTTTTCAGCATTTCTACTTGATGTTAGCATTTTTAAGTCATAAAATTTAACATCTTTAAGTAGAAATTATGAACAAAAATACTTGAGTCTAAAAATTTAACTTGATAGTGTTTTGTTGCTTGTTCTTCTTGTCGGGTGATCGCTGCCATGAGCACGTGTAGCTCTCTTTCAAGTGTACTCAAGGATTGTTGTAAATAAATATTGTTTTAGTTTAAAACGTGGTCGTGGACTTAACTAATTCACGTTTACAGCCTCCTGATAAAGACAGTCTTTGTGGAGATGTAAATGGATGGAAAAAGACGGCCANAAAATTAGCTTTATTGGCATTCTCTTAAGTTGAATAACAGTTTTTCTAGTACTTTCGGGCAACCAAGCTTATTGTCAGGATATACACAAGTTTTAAGTTTTGACTTTGTATTTCAGTTTGTTTTCAGCATTTCTACTTGATGTTAGCATTTTTAAGTCATAAAATTTAACATCTTTAAGTAGAAATTATGAACAAAAATACTTGAGTCTAAAAATTTAACTTGATAGTGTTTTTCATAATTTAAAATTATTATAAAACTAAATAATTTTTGATATTTTCTCAAAGTAACTGAATTTTTTTGAATGAACTGATAATTTTTGCCAATTTTTATAATCAATCTTGTAATTATTATATTTATAGACATATATGTAAAACACATAGAATAAATTCATAAAAAAATTGAATTGATGCTTATTTTCTTTTCCTGCATACAATAATAAAAGTGTAACTACATTAACTGTAACCATAAATGAAAAACAAATCTTAAGACTTCACATGAATTTAATCTTTAATTCAATTTAATTTGTCTTCTTCAAACACCAATAAAACAAAATATTAAATCTTTAAAAAGAATACACAAAACATCATTAAAACAATGTCATTTAGAATAAAATTGTAAACAGTTTAAAACTTAAAATTGTTATGAAACAAAAAATTTTTAAAATATACAATATTAAAGACAAGTGTAAACTAATATTAACAAATATAACAAACAAGTAATATTACAAAACTTAAAAACTAAAAATATATGAAAATAACTGCTAAACATTAATGAATATTGATATTGAATAAGATATTGATAACTTTAACAACAACATTAAACATAGCAGATACTCCTACACATAATATAGCTAACTGGACAAAAAACAATGCAAGCATGGATACATCATCAACAGTGAGTAGGTACAGTACATATAGCTGTATATCAAAAACCCAGCCCTGACAGATGACAGAATTTCATAAAAGATCTTTCATGCTCCAGATATGTTATGAGCATCCTTGACATTAGTTCATGTACAGTTGAACCTGTCTATCTCAAATCTCTCAGGAAGAAGAAAAGTTTCAGATAAATAGGTTTCAAGATAGAGGTTCCTATACAGTAAACAGTAATAGGTTAACAGGTTTGATTGAAAATATGGTGTTTTATTAATACAAAACCAACTATGGTACATGACTGTATTAGGTATAAATAAAATATTTTTGACATATCTTAACAAAAATAATTTGTCAATAATTTCTGATGCCTGACTTTCTTCAACCAATAAGATGCAAGCTAAACTAGTAGCCAATCAGAGAAAAGTAGCATTAATTGCAACTATGTACAGTACTGTATTGCAAGAGATGTTTATCAACTGCAATTTATGCTATAAAGATATAGTTGCTGAGCTTTGAATTTGTAATGGACACTTCAGTCCATAATTTGAGATATAAAGGTTTTGGGAGAAAATTATTTGAGATAAACGTGGAAAATATATTGAATTTAGGCTGAAAATGTGGGGAAAAATAAATTTCAATATAAAGAGGTTTTTGAGATAAACATGTTTGAGATAGACAGGTTCAACTGTATTTCTTTTGGATGCTTTGTTTAGCTCCAACAGCTCTAACCCTTTCAACTTGAACTATAAAGGACTGGGTACAACAAAATCTGAAAATATACCACTATCCCTATGATAGAGGTATAAGATGCCAATATTGTAGATGGAAGGGCATTTTTCATAGTCTAATTATGCTTCTTCAATCAAGCTTGTAATGAGTACAGTATGGCACTGATGTATTCAAGATCACTGTGAATTGTTGGTTATAGAAGAGAACCTTGTATACTCCAAGGAGTGGTCATATTGGTCCTTATTATTTCTTGAATTCTGTACAGTGTGGGGTTTCTTTCAAAGCAGAATCTACTCTCATTGCTCATCACCACCAACACACTACTGGAAAATAGATTACATCAAGGAAATTGCAGCTAGTCACGGTACCTGGCAAGACTACAGTCGACCCCCCTATAATTACGGTCACTATAATTACGATTCCTATAAAACTACAAAAAAATATACGTATTTTGGAAATGTTGAGTCGGATTAGTGTAGAATCGATTAATTTTATGGAAGAAAACCTTTCAATCAGCCGTAGTCCGTAAACTTGACACGTGTCGGGCTGTGATTGGAACGACTTGTAAGAAATCGGATTCCTAATAAATTGGAACGTATCTATATCTTATAGGGGGGGCGACTGTA